GTTAGAAAAAAAGCTGTCATAGAATTAGACTTTCAATGTATAATAGTCAAGAAGAATACAATTTTAGTTATAAAATAATACTGATACGTAACACCAAATTTCCTAAGTTCAATCACCTCTTTTTATTAAAATCCATCAGTCTGATTATAATAGAAATAGCAATTAAAAGATAAGTACAATCAAGAATTCTATTTGATATAATTTAATTTTTTCTTAGCATGTCCTTAAATGTGAAACAACAATCATGATGTAAGAATACAGATAATAACTTACAGTGGCAGCTCCTGCTACAATCACATGGGGTTTTGCAATGGAATCCTAAAGGAAGAAAAATCTCTATTACAGTGTTATATCCAGTTCAGGGAATTAATACAAGCAACATCATTTCATTTCTTTCCTTAAAATTTAAGTTCTTCCCTCCAAATGCATTTTAAATTTCCTTCTTATTATTATTCCTATTGTTTTTATAACAAGATAGACATCCAATGCCTAAAATCTCATATTGCTACACAGTTATACAGGATAGCATGATGCTTGTATGGTTAATTCTTTGGTGTTCTCAAAAAAAAAAAAAAAAAAACCACTACTGAAATGTAACATGACCTAATATTATTCTGAACTCAAAGTAAATTACTTAGAGTAAAGCTCTTGTGTATTATGTCAGTCAATTAAAAGGTATTCATGGAAACCTACAGGGTACACAGTATAAGTGTTAAATAAAATACAAGGTCAGTGCCCTAAAGAAATATAATCTTTTGGGAAAGCTAAATTCAACATGTATTTAATAAAATAAACTGACAATTATTAAAGACCACATGTGGGAAAAAAGAAAAAGTAGAAATCTTCACCAAATGCAAATTATAATAGTTTCTCCTTATCCATGGTTTCACTTTCTGCAGTTTCAGTTACCCACAGTCAACTCCAGTCTGAAAATATTAAATGAAAAATTCCAGGAACAAACAATTCGTAAGTTTTAACATGTGCGTCATTTTGAGTGGCATGATAAAATCTCACACCATCCTGCTCTGTCCTGCCCAGGCTGTGAATCCTCCCTTTGTCCAGAGTATCTGCCCTGTACATGCTCCCCATCCAGTTGTCACTTAGCCACCTCGGATATCAGATCTACCGTCACAGGAATGCAGTGCTTGTGTTCAAATAACACGTATTTTTCTTAAAAATGGTCCCAAAGCACAAGAGTAGTGATGCTGGCATACTGTTAATTGGTCTATTTTATTATTATGATTATTGTCTTACTATTATTAATTCACAAACTTTAATATATGTATGTATAGGAAAAAACATAGTATATATTGAGTTTGTTATGATCCCCAGTTTCAGACATCTACTGGGGGTCTTGGAATGTATTTACCATGGATGGGGGGACTATTGTATACTATTTATAATATATAGCTATACTATATCATTAGTAATTATATATATAGTTAACTATATATATATAGTATAACATGTTTATAGTACTTAGTAACTTATGAAGTACTTTATCTTAAATTATCTCATTTTAATATACAGGGTGTCCCAAAAGTCCCCACACAAAGAGAAAATGGGAAATTGCAGCTCAATGTACCTTTATTTACAAAATATTCATTATAAAATTTTATAAAATTTTTCCACATTCACCTTTAAAGATCTGTAATCCTGCTGTACCCTACACTTCCCCTATTTCAGCACTTGTCACATTGTTTCCTTAATCACCTATATATGCCACCATCCAGAAGCTCTTTGAGGGGAATATCATGTTAACCAGTGTATCAACATTGTCCAGCTTAGTACCTACAATACGTCAAGTGATTTATAAATATCTGCTGAATAACAATCTACTTAGAGTCCTCTCAATTCAATGTTGTTTTCATGCCTACAGGCTTCTATAAAGCTGTTCCAGTTAGTAAGTGTATCTTTTTCCTAAACCATAGTTCTTCCGGAAATACTATTTCCTCTGTAAAACTTTCTTAGAACATCACCTATATTCTCACCACCTCCCATCCTAAGTGCTTCTATCCATGGTGCTTTCATTGTCCTTGTGTTCAATTCTGTGTTAGCCTTTGAATTACCATATCATTATTCATCAATAAGTCACCATTAACTAGACTGAAAATTCCTTGAGGGCTGAGATTAGAGCTAATTCCCAGCCACATTCTTATCACTCAGCAGGAAGCTAGCAATAGTACATAAATAATAAAGATGTAGGTCTTTGTATTCTCAGGATCTAGCAGCTTACTATGAAAATAGTAAAAAAATAAATACATACATACATATTCCTTATATAAATGAAAACCATCAACTAATCAATCTTATGTGACCAAATGACCATCTACCTAAATAAATTGTATCTTTTCTTTCTCCCAACAATTATAAAGAGTTTTACAACAGAATCTAAGCCTTCAAAACTAGCTTTAGAAAATTATTAGAATTGAAAATTTGGATATATAATATTACTCCAGGTTAGTAAATAACTTGAAGATTTTCTGTGATCTTGCAGGACTTACACATTATAACGTATTGATGTTTGTTTAACTGTGAATTGTTACTACTTTAATGGATATACTTTCAGGTCCAACACAAATAAATATATAACATATGTTTAAATCATTTTAAATATACACATAACATTATTCTGTCCTTCTGGACATTTAAAAACATATCGATAAAAACAAAACACAGTAAGTGAGTGCAGACCTCAGTTTGCCAGAAAGTTGAATTCTAGAAGTTGTCTACATGTTTGTTTTTTAGAAATTTGAACACATTTGCTCAAAGAAACAAGGTTAGAAATGGTGGCTATGTTCCACGGGATCCTACAAAAGCCTATTTGTTATGTTATATGGCTGCAACACTAAACATTTACTGTGAAGAGAAACAAAAAAATTTAAAAATTTAAAACCGTTGCAGAACAGGTAATTAAGCAAAACAAGGTCAACAAAATTGAATATTGTTTTATCCATCCCAAATGTAAATGCCTTTGGGAAAGAATACAGGTTTAATTAAAGGACTGATGAAGAGCTATATGGAGACTACTGTAGAGATTGGAAAGTGGACCTGTGAGAGCTTTGGGGTTTTCTGAGGTCAACAGCTTGTTTGCCTTTATATCTAATTTATCTCCAAACATGACTACATGAGCTAAAATGTAGTCATCTTGTCTTCTGCATCATAAATATAAAGAGAATAACAGCTATAAAAACAAAAGTTTCCTGAAGTACCTGGGCATGAGTTTGAAGGACAAAGTGGAAAAATGCTCAAGAGAATGTCCGTTGTGCTGGGAAGATTACTTGAGTTTGAATTAGCTAAACTATGGCACCAACAAAAAGTTTTAAGACTGGAAAGTCTGGGGTAAACATAATTTTCTCTTAGAGTTAAAATGGCGATAGCAGGGCAAACGCTGGATCAATACTTTCTCTTCTCAGTTAAGTGCTAAAATCAGTCCAGCACAGCTTAGTTGCTATCAACAAGGTAAGTATAAAGTATAGGAGAGCAGGACAGGTTAGCAAAGGGAAGAAAAGCTAATGCATGTGGGCTTTTACAATTTGGTTGCTCAAAAAAAAAAAAAAAGCCTATATTGTCAAATACCGACCTCAGTCCACACTTTGATACACTGTTTCATTGAACCATTAACTTCTGGATGCCACAGAAAATCCTAAAAGAGAAACGTTAGAAGAAAAGAAAAAGTGAAAGAAACTTTGTTTTCAAGTTTCCACACATGGCATTGAAAGAAACTCTTATTTCTACCATTCAAAATAAGCATTAACATTTGCTTACAGAGCACGTAAAAGCAAAACACCACCCTAAGACATCATTATCTCCTATCTCAGTTTGGCAAGAGTCTCACAGTAGTTCTTATATCCACTTTTGCCTTCCTCTAATCTACTCTCCACATATTAACCAGAGTAATCTTTTAAAAACTTAAATCTGACCTTGCCACACCCCTGCTTAAGTATTCAGGGACTTTTACTTGCCCTCAAAAAAAAAATTCAGAGTCCTGAAAATTGCAGAGAAGGTCCAGGATTTGGCCTCTGCCTGTCCCTTCTGCCGTTTCTCCTGCCACTTCACACTTGCTCTCTAAGTGCCCTCTGCATTCTCGGTCCGTTCCTAGAATGCTCTATGTGTTCCTTTTTCTCTAGGACTTTGCATATACTGTTCCTTCTGCACATAATGCTCATAAACTCTTCCACTGCGCCTAGCAACCTCCTACTTATCCTTGAGGCCTTAGTTAAAATATCACTTCTTCAAGGAGGAAAACTACTTTCAATTCCTGGCTCTGTATATTCCTAATGTCCACTTTTTCTTCTTTGCCACCCTTATCCCATTTGTATTTGCATATAGAGAACTATAAAGATCTGCAGGCATGTTCTCATTCATATGTGGGGGCTAAAAAAAAAAGAGTGGATCTTATGAAAATGGAGACTAGATTGGTGGAAAGGGAAGGGTAGAGGGGAAGAGGAAGGGCAAAAATCCCCCAAGAATGTAAATGTTATTTCTTACCATTGATCTGTACACTTAAAAATGGTGAAGATGGTAAATTATATATGTATATTTTACCCCAATAAAAAAGTTTTAATAAAAAAAAAAAACCTGCAGGCTGTATTAGGTCAAGGTCATTTTTGTCCTGATCCCCACTGAATTCTCATTATGATTGGGAATTCAGAAAATTCACATTCATCATAAACACATAATAGATTCAAAATAGCCGGGTGTGGTGGCTCACACCTGTAATCCTAGCACTCTGGGAGGCCGAGGGGGGCGGATTGTTTGAGCTCAGGAGTTCGAAACCAGCCTGAGCAAGAGCGAGACCCCGTCTCTACTAAAAATAGAAAGAAATTAATCAGACAACTAAAAAATGTATAGAAAAAATTAGCCGGGCATGGTGGCGCATGCCTGTAGGCCCAGCTACTCAGGAGGCTGAGGCAGGAGGATCACTTGAGCCCAGGAGTTTGAGGTTGCTGTGAGCTAGGACGCCACGGCACTCTAGCCCGGGCAACACAGTGAGACTCTGTCTCAAAAAAAAAAAAAAAAAGATTCAAAATAAGGTAAAATTTTGTTTTTCCTGGATAAAATTTTGAGAAATCAGATTTTTTTTCTATTTTATTACAGAACACAATTCATACAAACTTTTATCTCATTATCTTAATATTCGTATCTACTCTCAAGAATACACTAAAATATACTTAGTATGTACAAAGCATTAGCCTCTTTACAAATTAACCAATGCATAGTTTTGACATTATAATGCCTAGCTTACTATGAACTTACCACTTTAACTGATGCAACCTTGTCTTCAAAAGGAATGTTTTCATGCTGCCATAAAAAAAGGAAACAACAGAGAAACACTAATGTATAGATTAAATTTATGTAAATAACTTCCCCCTTTAGCTGCTTTTATTGATTTATTTTTATGCACCAAATTTCAATTACCTATACATACTCAACACAAGGCAAAAAAAACCTACATAGAGAATACCAAAAAATAAGTGACACTAGTTAAATTGTTCATATGTGATTTTCATCATCTAAGATGTAGTTAAAACTTCAACTACAAACAAGCAGATACATCAATGTGCCTATATAAATTACCTTTTTGCCAACCTTACCAGGATTCTAATTTAGTCTTGGTATTACTATCTATGGCAGAGACAGATTACTTCCCTACATTTCCTCAGTCCCTTCAAGTTGGACAGGGCCACATGGCTAGTTCTGGCCAATGCAATGTGGCTAGATGTGACACGGGTCACTTTCAGGCTGAATTTTCCAAGACAATTCTCTAGTCTCTATCTTAACCCAATGCAGAGACTGAGGAGACCAAAGGTTCCAAAGTACTCTAGAAAATGGTAAAAATTCTAACAGCAGAAATGCAGAAATCCTTAAACGATCGTGTGAAGCAAAGCCTCTTGTCAACTCACCTAGGACGTGTAGAGCTAAGTGAGGAATTATCTTCTGCTTTGTTAAGACTGTAGTTTGTTGCCGCAGCAACATCTAGTCCGTTCTCACCAGTATACTAGTATAGGCCCTGACTAAACAGGAATGGACATATATAACTTGAGGCTATTATGGGTTTCACTGTGAAGACGGTATAACAGTCCATTTACAGCAAAAATTAAAATTTGGAGAATACAACTTCTGGTAACCAAGTGTTCCACATAAAGAATAGAAATCCGTTCAGAGTTAGAAATCCTAGGTAGGATGGGGGTCAGGGTGGTCAAGAAGAAGCTAATTCTGCTCCTAAAACCACAGTTGAAATGTTTTCATTAATTTAACCAGACAAATAGAAATACTGGATTGAACAAAATCACACAGATCTTCTCTTTCTTCTACCCCATCCCTAATCTTTTAAAAATTTGTTCTCAGAGAAATAATGTGTCATGAACTTTCTTTTTTTTTTCCTTTTTTGTTTTTTTCTTTTATTAGAAAGACACACCGATGGTTGTAAATGAATTTTCTTTTTCTTCCTTTTGCATTGCTTAGTACATTCAACTCAATCTCTTCTTTTCCTTTATTATTTTAATGTAACATTTGATATATACAAAAAGTCACATATATGAGTCACAAAGCACACAAAAGAATAATAAACACTCATAAATCCATGACACAAATCAGAGCATTACCAACACACTGAACTACCTATGCTCTCTCCCTATCTTAACTCCCCGCTTCACCCAAAGAAAACCACTATCATGCATTTTGTGTTTACACTTTGCTTGTTTTTTAAAAAAATATAGTCTTATATATATATGAATCTTTAAATGATACATTGTTTAGTGTTGTTGTTGGCCTTCTCTCCAACTTTTAATTTTTTTGAAAAATTGCAAACTTACAGTGAAATTGACAGAATTAAATGAACTCCCCTAATCCTTTAGTAATTGTTAACATTTCTTATACCAGCTTCATCCCTTTCCCTCTCTCCACACACACATGCACTGTATAGAGTTTTTCTCTTTTGCAGAACTATGTGAAACTAAATTGCAGAAGTCATAACATTTCACCCTTAAATACTTACACATGTATCTGCTAAGAACATGGACGTTCTCCTACATAACCACAATACCATAATCCCACATAAGAAATTTGACATTGATAAAATATTATCTCATTTAATATATAGTCCACATTCAAATTTACCCAATTACCCAACAATATTCTCTTGATAGCTCTTCTATTTTAATCTACATTCCAATTTAAATCACATATTACATTTAGTTGTTATATCTCTTTAGTCTCATTGAGTCTAGAACATTCCCTGGCCTTTAAAAACTTACATATATCAATTTATTGTATCAATATTATTTTTATTAATATCAAATACATTTATTATGTTTGTGGAGTCTAAGTCAGTTGATGCAATACACTAAGATCTCTAGATTATAAATAGCACTGATAGTTACCTTGTACATGTCTCTTAACATACGAGTAAGAATTTCCTTAATAGTTCCATAGATCCATATGCTATACAAGTGTCTACATTCACATGATAATGCAAATTATTTTCTGCAGTGTTTGTAACAATTTAAACTCTCATCAGCAGTTTATAAGACATCTGATACATAGTATAATACGTCTTGTCAGATTTCATATTTTTTGCTATTGTCAGACTTAATTTCTGCCATTAAAGTAAGTATAAAATGGTATCTCATCTACAGTCTTAATTTACATTTCCCTGATTACTAATGACATTAAAGATCCTTTAGATTTACATATGGATTCATGTTTCCACTTCAGTAAATGCCTGGGTATGCCTACCTCCACCCCTTTTTGTCTGTCGGGTTGTTTTTTCATTAATTCATAGTTCCTTATATTTCTTGGATATACACTGCAAATATCTTCTCCCAATTGTAGCTTGTCATTTTTCCAAGGTATTTTTTGATGAACAGATACTCTTAATTTTAAGGTATGTGAATTTATCAATCCTTTATTTTATGGGTAGTAATTTTTGTTTCTTTTGTAAGAGCCTAAAACTACCTTGAGGTAATGAAGAAATTCTCCTGTATTTTTTCTAAAGGTTTCAAAGTTTTGATTTCCACATTTAAGTCTAAACTCATCTAGAAATGATTTTACTTGATGGTGTGAGGTAGGAATCCAATTTCATTTTTTTCCATGCACCACTTGCCTTTGCACCATTAATTGAAAAGACCTTCCTTTCCCCAAGGATCTTCAATGGCATGTCTGTTACTTACTAGGTCTTTGTACACGCATATGTCTATTTTAGAGCTCTAAATTCTATTCCACTGGTTTCTTTAACTCTATACCAATACCACACTGTCTTAATTACAATAGTGTTAAACTAAATCTTGATATTGCAGATCAAGTCCTCTCAACCTTGTTGTTCAGATTTTTTTTTTTTTGGTTATTCTTGGTCTACTGGCCTTCTATATAAAATTTAGAATCAATTGGTAAAGTTCCACAATAAATTCTCTTAAGATTTATTGGGGATTACATTGAGCCTACAGATCAATGTGGGAATAACTGGCATCTCTACAATATTGAGTCTTCCCATCCAGGAATATAGTATATATTTTCTATTTAATTATGTCCATTTTACACTGTCTTTCAATAAAGTTTTGTGGCTTTCCTGCATACAGATCGTCCACATTTGTATTATTCCTATGTAACACAGTTTTTGTTACTACTGCACATGGTATATTTTAAAAACATTTTTTAACTCTGTATTGTTGACATGCAGATATTCAATTAATTTTTAATAGCTTTATTGAGGTATCAGAATTTTTTTGTATGTTCATCTTATAATCAACTACCTTGTTAAAATCTTTATCTACCTTATTAAAATCTTTATTATTTCTAATAAATTTTCTATGGATTCTTTGGGATTTTCTATGTAGAGAATTGTCTGATGGAGTCCTAAGTTTATTTTTTCCAATTCTTACATCTGTAAATTGTCTTTCTTTGGCAAGAACCTCTAATACAATGTTGAATCGAAGCAGCAGTAACGGACATCTTTGTCTTTTTCCTGATTTTAATGGAAATGTGTCTAACATTTCACCACTAAGAATATTTACTGTAGACTTCTAGAGTTTTTATCAGGTTAAATTTGAATGCAAAGTAACTTACCTAAAAGAGAAAGAATGATGCCAACTCTCTGACATTGTTGGGACTTGCTTAATGGCATAATATATGGTCAAAAAGATCTTCCATATCTGCTTTGAGAAAATATATTCTCTAATTTTGGAGTACATTCTCTAAGTTACTGAGCTATAAGCTTGTAAAATCATGTATGTTAATTGTCTCCTTAAGTTTACCAGTTTTATTTGCCTATCCTATTGTTAATTGAGAGAGCAGTGAGCAATTCTCCCACTATGAAGGATTTGTCTATTTCTCATTGCAATTATATTAATTTTTGCTTTCTAAATTTTAAACCTAATTTATTAGATACCTACAAGTTTAAAATCTTAGTGATCTGAACTCTTTGTCATTAGAAAGTGACGTTCTGTATCCCTAATATGATTTTTACCTTAAAATCTATTTTGTGTTGTATTAATATGGCTTATCTTTCTTCAACAAGCATTTGTCTGGTGAATCTTTTTCATTTTTAATTAAAACCTTCCCAGGTCCTTTTATTTTATTAATAGATATGTCTTTTTAAGCAGCAGAAAGTTCTTTTCAAAAGCAATCTGGAAATCCGTGTTTAGCTCACAAGTTTAGGCTACTTGCGTTTATTTTGATTATAAATATGTTTCTACCATCTTAGTTTTTGATTTCTATCCTCCCTACATACACATAGTTTTTATATACCTATATGTAAAAACAGATTTTTACATATTTGTGTGTATATATGCATATCACGTGTGTGGATGGGTATGTGTATATAATACATATTTGGCATTAGATGAGTATATTTTTGTTTAATTTTTTTCTTCTTCTGCATTGTAATTTATACATTTTAATTCTGTTATTTTAGTCTTTACCCTGAAGTGTTCCTGTACATCTTTAACTTAAGTTTTAAAGGAAGACAATATCTTAGAGCATATAGAATACATTAGAACACTTTAATTGTGCTCATCTCCCTCTGACTTACATGGTATTATTGGCCAGTTCTTTAGTTCTGTCTTTTCACTAAGTGCAAAAAGACACTATTATTTTACACGGTGTTTAGATTAGTTTACATTACTATTAGTTTACATACATGTTTACTATTTTCTTTAACCATTGCTTCTTATATTTCAGATCATTTCTCTGAACATTTCCCTCCTTCCTGATGTTTATCCTTCAGAAACTCCTTTAGTGTAAGTCTGTTTGGTAGTAAACTCTCACAGTTTTTGTATATCTGGAAATGTCCTATATTTCGAAAATAAAGAAATTTTTATGCTAGGTGCACAATTCTACTTTGAAACTTACTTTCTCTCAGAACTTTAATGCTACTATTCTACTGTCCTCTGGCTTTCAACATTGTTACTGAGAAATATGCTGGCCCAAAGCTTAACTTTCTACATACAGGGAACTACAGCTATTGGCATTTGCCTTCAGGGCAACCTGAACATTTACTGCTTGTCTGTCATCATTGTTCTCATCTCTGGTTTTGCCTCATAGTTTGTTTTTCTTTGAAGAGTGTCTTCCATTTCCTCAAAGTCAAGAAATACATCCACAGTATTTTTCAAAATCTGTGCTGTAGTTGGTTTGAAGTAGAAGGGGCCCCCAGAGTATCTAGCCTGCCCTATGGCTGGAAGCAACACAAAATGGATTTCTTTACTGCAAGACTTCTCAAGTTGTCAATATCCTAGCCTAAATTAAAACTATCTAAGAGGGAGATATGATATGCAGTTCAAATTCATTTGAACAAAGCTTCTCACAGAACTAGTTTTTCACAAAGTATAATTTGAAAAAAAAAAAATCCAGCTCTAATGTCTCTTAAAAAAAAAAATTGCCTCAATACAAAAAAGAAACCAAATTCAAATAAGGAATTATCTCCAATATGCCGATTCCACCCAAACAAACCCACACCACAGCTTTAAAAAAATTATTAACAATAAGCTTTTACAATATGTCAGATTGTGCTAGGCACAAGAAATGTATCAAAATATAATGATGATATGCAATTTCTGTCCTTGAGATGCAGAGACAAGAGAATATTGAACATATAATTTGGCAAATGCTCTACTAGTAGTTTGAATTAAAATATTTTCTTGATAACTGTCTCTTTAAACTTGGAATTATCTTTACTTGTTTCTTTTTAAATGCATATAAATTAAAATGTGTCTTGTTTGATAATTTTGGGATAACTAGACACCCCTAGAAAATAAAAACTGGAAACCTACATGTTATAACTAGGGCTAAGAAACAATGTGCCATATTGTATGTACTTCTGGCTCGACTAAACCATTATAGCTTTTTTCAGCTACCTGTTGCCAAATCTATTATTCCAATTTTCAGAAAGTGACACAATGTTAAGTCCAGAGATATTAAAACTTTCTTTGAAATCAGAAATCTTTTAAAAAGATTTTTATTTTAAATCATAATATTTTCGTGTTATCAAATAGTTCAAACTCTTCTGTATAATTTTGTATAAATACAATGGAAAATACAAATTTAAAAATGAAAAGTTAACTTTATTGTTTGCATGATTCAAAGAATAGTCCCTGAGGACTTAGGACCCTTTGGCATCATCACTATGAGAATAGCTACTTAGCTGGGAAGGCCCTAAGTTTTCAAATCCTTACCACAGGGAAAATTCATGTGCATAGGCAGATTTTCATAAATTTCATGAACTATTTCCCTTACAATTCAGAAATTTCATGGAATCTCCTTTTCTCCCCTTGCTCTCCCCACTCCCAATTGTATGCTGTTTGAAGACAGGGTTAGAACTCTGGATTACTTTAAAATGTACAAACAAAAGAATATGATGAGATAATCCACCCAAAAATAAATTAACTAATTAATTAACATATAAAAAGATCTTAATCCTTATTAGTTTTCAAAGAAAGATACATATTCAAAATGAGAAATTTTCAAACAAAATCAACAGCAGACATTTATTGCATTGTTATTTTAATTTATAGCATGATCATCCAGTGCCAGAAAGGTTTCAGAAAATTAGGCCCCAACATATACTGCTAATTAGAATATGAATTGAAACAATTTGGCAATGTAATAGATAATTTTTAAAATGTTTATATTCTTTAACCTAATATTTGCATTGTCGTGATCCCATGCTAAGGAAATAATTTAAAAAGCAAAGTTTTCACACAAAGAAGTAACTGAAAACATCCTTTTTTACTGCAAAAAATAGGAAACTAAAAAAACCTAAAAAAAAGAAAGATTATATAAAATTACATTATATCCACTCAATAATATGTTGTCATTAAGAAGATACTTAAGTTGATTATATAATATGGGTGAATTATGATAAGTGGTGGGGAAAAAAGATATAAAATTACACATGCTAAAAGATTACAAGTACAGTTTAAAAAAAAGACTGAAATGAAATCTGGCAAAATATTAACAGGAAAATAAGAAATTATATTTTTCTCTTTGTCTTCTTTCTGAGAAATTTTTAAAAGTTTTTCCATGGTAAGAATTTATTATTTCTAAAAACCAAAAGTTTACTAAGTTAATAAAAAGTTTGCCAATACCTTATCCACCACTGCTTTTTTTCACATTCCCCATTATAGCAAATCATGTTTCTTTCCCCTACCTTTCCCAAAGTCAAAATAAAACTTTTCCAGTTGCTACTGTTGTTCTGGAGAGACACACTCTTCCTCTAACTATTCAGTTAGTTAACTTCTAAAACAATACCCTACAGAAGGGAATAGACAAGTTTTACCTTATTTCCTTCTTCTTTGAATTGGGGATTAATTATTTTTACAAAAGAATAAAACAACTGACGAATCCTGGAATCTCCAATAAATGCAATATGTTTATCTACAAGGCAGTTCTTTGCTTCGCTGAAATCAACAAAGAAACATTACAATAAGTAAAATCAGCATATTGGCATTTCGAAAGCACATGGTTTATAAAGAAAGTTGTACAGGATTGTTACACATATGGTTCTGTTGCTTTAGAAGTGGGTGGCCAGGTGTGTTTAACTTATCAGTCCCATGTAGCTATGATCAACTAACTCTCAATAATAACAGCCCCATTCACTAAATGTTTAAGATGTATTCTAACTCTATTAAGTGCTTTATATCTACTCTCTCTTAATCCACAGAATAGCACCAGTAGGTAGGCATCCAAGCTGCAGAGCAAGAATCCTTTGCTCAAGGGCTATTGCCTTAGGCCTCATTACCTCTCACCTGAGATAAAGCAGCTCAGCCAAAACTCTTTCCCAAAAGCTTGAGGACAGGAATTTTCATTTGGAATCAGCCCTATCCCTATCCGCAGTAAGTCTCTACCCTCATATAGAGGAGAAAGTATTCTCTTGTTTCACCAACCCCTCTCCACTAGACATTAAGATGCTTTCTAGAAAAGAAAACAAACAACCAAATGAAGAAATCATACCTGATTTTGTACTTATGCATCATACAACTGTGAGGCTGCCAAACTTTCTCTCCAAGAAATCTGCCACTTGAGAGAAGGTATTCACACGAATCATTGCCTATAACAGTTAAATACAATAGTAGCAGAAGCAATGGTTAAATTTTTATAAGTTGGCTATCTCGACCCTATTCAAGGTCCCTGAGATCAGCAAGCACAGTTTTCTGTGTTTCACTATCCTTTCCAGGTGCATATTATCCATTCACGAGAAGCATGATAAATATTAATACATTAATATCCGAGAGGATAAGAGCCACTAATGGTTTATACTTCAACCTGTAAAAGACTCCTAACTCCTAAATGCTACATTCACTACCTTGGCAGTTCCTTCTGCTTCAGGATTTTTTCCCAAGGACGTCAACTCAGCCTCAAACTAGCCTTTACATCTGATTATCACTCCTACTTCTAGCTGAGAAAGAAAAGTTAAGGGATAAAAGAGAAGACTTTGGAAATAACTTCCTATTCAACTATTATAATACATAGTGCATTAGCATATCTGGAGTCCTGGTTTTAAACGGAAAGTTCCATAACTAGGAAATCCCCAATCCCATGTAAACTAGGACAAGGAATCACTCTACTTCCTTTGGACATTTACTGTACAATAGTTAAATGTACATGACCAAAGGGGTTAAAAATGGTTTGGAGGAGTTTATGTTTAAATATGTCAAACAAATTAGATATTTACATTAACATGGGATTATAATGAAATATAAATATTATTAATTAATCTCTAGTTTCTTATTAAGAGTCAATAGCAAGCTGTATTTGTTTGCCAATTAGTTATGGTCAGGCTAACGAGTCTGATAAGAGAAATACTACAGAACAAAAATGGTATGTGAACCTTTCACGGTGGAGGTGGGAAGATGCAAAGGTATTTAAAGTAGAAGAACACATCTCTTTTCTCAATCCAATTATTCATCTATCTGGCCAAAATATAGACAAAAGGTGATACAAATGCAATACAAGCATGCATAAACACTGAAAGTGTTGTTGCCTCAGTGTCATAAATTCTAAAGTAGAACAGGAAGGAAGAGTAAAAATGCTGCATTATCTTGGTGGAAAACTGGATAAAGAAAGCAGGATAAGTAGGATATCAATTATTAAATTTTTATAATTATATTTGTAAACTCAGAGAATAGTCCCTGAGGACTTAGGACCCTTTGGCATCATCACTATGAGAATAGCTACTTAGCTGGGAAGGCCCTAAGTTTTCAAATCCTTACCACAGGGAAAATTCATGTGCATAGGCAGATTTTCATAAATTTCATGAACTATTTCCCTTACAATTCAGAAATTTCATGGAATCTCCTTTTCTCCCCTTG